CAATATCGGAAGGTACCCTGACCGGACATCGAGTACATAGACGGATACATGGGAGCGGCGGCTGCAAGCCCCTCATTGCACCTTCCTACCGAGGGTCGAGCTTGGCAGGCGCCCGCCTAGGTGCCTTCGAGACCCTGGCACTCTACCTGGCTCGGACGCGGTATGCCATCTAGCGTATCGCCAGGGATTCATCCCACTTTCAATTAATCCTCGTCCCTCAAGAAATCCATCGACCAACCGAATGACCTGCAGACTCTTCATCGCCTCGGAAGTTCCGAGGGGCCATCACAAGGGTGAGTTTCCATTCGGCGGTCTACAATAACATGCTATGCGCGCGGCATGTCATATCTCCTCCACCATGGCATTCAGCGTGCTACTTTCCCAGCGATCGTACGCCATGTTCCCCTCCTTTCACCGACGAACGGCGGTACATGCAGCTGGCAGCTTACGATGTACCGTCCGCCACGAAGCCATGCTTCCTGCCCCATCCATACTTCGTACAAGTCACTTCCAAGTCAATCGTTCATGGATCACTTCTCATTACAACCCAAGGCCTCCTTCGCGTCAAGCCCCCACTCCCGCGACCAGCTCCAGCGTCTACCTCCCACAGCCTGCGGGCTCTTCCAGATGTAACATGAACAGTGTTTTCTTACCGACCGCTATATGCAATCGACCCCACGCCGCCACTGTGGACGGAGGGTTGTGGAAGCAGGCAGGTAGGCCACCCCTTGTGCGGGGGCTAGTTCTCGATCTGGAGGTGTCAATAAGAAGATGGTCCGAAGCGCTCTCTCCTTCCGCTTCTTGCGTTAAAATGCTCGTCATCAGCCTGCCTGGCATGGAGTTTGCAAAAATGTCGCGGCATCACTTCGACTCCCGAGAGGCGCGCGTCTCTTTTACTCTTGAAACGCCGACGTATATATCTGGAACTGAAATATTCATAGGTCAACCGGCTTAGCCGTCTGCAGCATGGCATGCATCCCATCCCGGTCGTCCAACCACGGTTTGCTGCTCCTCAGCGGGTCCCGCCCATTTCCTACTACAGGATTCGTCGTTCACTTTGGAGCAATGTCTTTGCGAGCCTGATCTGCCAAGTGCACTGGAGGCCTCGTGCACGCAAGATGTGCCAGTGACGGCCACTCGGAGAAGATCGTGAGCAATGTGACAGACGAAAGAAGTGCTTGACTGGACGTTCAACCCGCGAGAGTCATGCATACAAAAACGACGCGGAACTGTAGATGGGGTCTCGCACCGGATCGTCCGGTGGGCACACAATGTGGTGAGCTCTTGCCCGAAATGTCATGTCGTGCGTCGAACGTGGCGTATGTGCGACGTAGATTCTGACTGAGAACCTTCTTTCCCCAAGAGGCTGACCGGCTCGATGATGCACTGGTCGCATACCATCAACCGCTGATATGGGGGCCTGTTGCAGCTCCAGGGCTCTTTCCATGACCAGGACATCATCCATTAATTTCGGCCTAGCGAGGAGCGGCAACATTTACCGGTACACGTATGAGAGGTCTCTTTTTCAGCCTGCTGCATACTGCGAGTAGTGATGTACAGTTTTTCCAACTGGACAAGGGGACCGGTGACCTGCGACCAGCTGTCGACGTGCATTATATTCAGCCATGGGACCCTGATATCATTGCACACACATTACACGAGGCTTTGTACTTTCATGGCTGGAGCAGTCCAGGCCCCGGAAGACCTGAACGTCCGAATCAAGCTATAAAATCGATTCCAAACCGTGATGCAGTCACACCACAGCCGAGGCCGCAGCCTTCAGTCTTGTCGGTCGTTGACGTCCCAAAGGTGTCTCAGCCATACAAACCGGAACAGAAGATATGGCCTTTGGCCAATGACCAATTTGTCGAACAGCCACTCCTCTACAGTTGCCACGTGACGCAAATGTTCAAGTGCGTGCCTTGCCGCAATCGCTCGCGGCACCCATGTTCCACATATCTACAAGTAACTGCGCCCTGCGGCCGCCTCATACGAGGCCGACTTGTAATAGCAGGAATCGATAACAGGACAGGACCGCAGGCAGTAACAATCAATAGACCCCGCTTTCGCCGCGGACTAGAACCCTGTCTTGGCCGCAAAGTAGGCCTTCATGGCATACGCCTTCTGCTCGGGAATCGTGTACGCGGGGTGGATCGTGGCGACGCGGTCCTCCTCGTCGAACACCTGATCGGCACCTGTGCGGGGCCTAACCCTCCACCTGGGTTCCGCCAGAATGGTGTCGTCTTCGCCGACGTATGTCATGTCCCAATCGTGCTGGGCCGATGTCAGGCCGCTGGAGGACGTAACAAGAGTGGGTACGCGTCAGAAGGTCTGGGCTTCAAGTTAGCCACGCCTGCTGCTGCCACTGAAGAGGAAATAC